ACTTATAATAACCACCGTGACATTAGTTACATGTGACAAACATATTAAAAGATGCCAACTTAGTAATTATAAAATAGAAATAAAAAATATCTAAATAAATAATATGACACTTATTATAACCACCTTGAAGTTAGCTTCGATAAAATTTGCTAATTTGTTTTTCTTGACGTTTTTAAACATTCTGAATAGTTTGACAAAATTAAAAGAAAAAGTGCGTGACAAAATTATTTCATGAAGGATTCACATAAAGAATTAGCAGATCGGATTTTCTAGCAAAAAATAAACATCTCAATAATTATAAAATAAAAAGTGTCTAAATAAATAATATGACACTTTTTATAACTTCTTTGAAGTTAGCTTCGATAAAATTTGCTAATGTGATTTTTCTTAATGTGATTCGCTGAAGGATTCATATAAAGTGTAGAATTAGCAAATCGGATTTTTTGGCGAAAAAATAAACATTTTAATAATTATAAAATAGAAATGAAAAGTGTCTAAATAAATAATAGTTATAAATAAATAAATATAAAAATAAGTTAGCTTCGATAAGATTTGTTTTTGTTGGTTTTCTTGACGTTTTTAACCGTTTTGAATTGTTTGACAAAATTAAAAGAAAAAGGATTTACATAGAGTTTAGTAATTAGCAAATCGGATTTTCTGGCAAAAAATAAACATCTCTTTCTTGATTGATTAAATAATTCACCACATGCTTAAACGCGTTATAATTTTGTTTATCATATTTGATGTTGTTGGATCTTTACTGTACATATTAATTATCAACATTTTCACTCGCGAATTCCGAAATTAATATGAATTTTGTCAACGAAATTCAAATACGCACATTGAAAATATTCATAAGTGAATTACATCATGGCACTACAATCAGTGTAGTCCTGAAGAGCTCTAAGGTTTTAATATTGTATTTGAAACATGTTTGAAGGTGACATGCATTTTCTTCAGATTTACTTATTTCATCAACTTCCCGAATAATAAGTTTTTTTGCCAGCAATACAGATTTGCTAATTTTGTTTTCGCGACGTTTCAAGTCAGTGTGAATCCATTGACACCGAAATTGGAAGCAGTAATAGATGTTCTCACAATTTGTATATATATATATATATATATATATATATATATATATCTTAATGAATATTAAACAATTTCTTCTCTAATTAATTCAATTAACAAAATCAACTTTCGTGTTGAACTATTTAGGTTGTTTAGAAATTTAGGACGCGTCTACATTCCGAATATTTTTTTGCGTTTTGGTCGGAACGTTTCTTTGAAAATTATTGACCTGTACTTTTTTACGATTACGTTAAACGATTAAATCGACCATAAAATCGATCCATCATCGATATTTAAATAATGAATATTCATTGGAATAACGGAAGACTGATAACGATTTATTTGTTTATTATCCGTTTATTTCCTGAGTCGTTGTAATTGATTATTGGTGTTGTCAAACAAAAAAATGGTCTAGATTTTGGTTGACAAAAAATTGGGAGCGAGATAGAAAAGAAGATAAGATTATCTTGTACATATAAATAAACAAATATTCATTTAAAATTAATTTAATCAGTACTGAAATCAAATTCTTATATATAGATACCCTAGATCATACTAAGTCTTCTAAATCATACTAAAATATTATGGCCCTACGACAACTCGTTTAACTTTAAAAATTTGTAAAGTTTGCAAAAATTGGTATCG